TCTTCCAGAAGGTTCTGGATCCACCTCAGCACCCTCAGGATGGATCCAGAGCCCTCGGAACCCTCATTATGGATCCATTCAGGTCCCAAAATCCCCTGGTTTCCCCCCAAAGTTCCTCCCCAACCCCTCGTCCCCTTCTGCCCCCAGGTCCCCGCCCCGCACCCCAAACCTCAACTTCTGACCCCAAATCTGGGCCGGGCTCCCCGGACTCGGCCCCCAGGGGGGAGATTTTGGGGCCAATTCTCCAGGTTTTGGGTCCCGGATGAATTTTGGGGCGGAACCCGCCAGGACTGGGGACAAAAATCGAGTTTTGAGGGCGGAATTTGGGGCCAAAATCGGGATTTGGGGCAGTTTTTGTGCCCTTCCCATCCTTTGGGGGTTTTTAATTAGCGCTAATTGGGTAATTAATGGTGGAGCATCAGGCTGTGGTCTCCAATTAATTCATCAGTCGGTTAATTGCAGGTTTTCCTCCCCGAAATTTCCCTCCCGGCTTTTTTTTCCCCTCCCTCCAACCCCAACCCTCGGTTCTTTTCTGGTTTTTTTCCCAAATTTCCCCGTTTTTAACCCAAATCTTGGGAGTTTTCCCCAATTTCGGGGTTCGGGCCCCGATCCCGCCCCGGTTCCTTTCCCAAATTTCGTTTTTTTCCCCGATTTTGACCCAAAAATCCCCAATTTTTGCTGGAATGGCGCCCCCTGGCGGCCGCGCGGGTTTGGGCTTTTTCCCGCCAAAAGCGATGACGTCACCAATGGGGGGGGAGGAATCGCCGCCCTTCATTAACGGCGATTAATCGCAATTAATTAATTCCGCGCGTTAATGATTTAATTCGGGAACTTTGGTTTTAATCCCAGAATTAATCCCCCTCCCCCCAATCCTTAATTAATTTGAATATTAATTATAATTTAAAGCAATTATATTAAAAAAATTTATATTAATTTCATAATTAATCAGACGACTGCCCAACTAATTAATGGCTTGTTCAATTAATTAATTTCAGTAATTGTGGTGGTTTATTAATTGTGAATTAATTAATTGGGTAAATCTGCCCGGAGATTTCATCGTTAATAAATTCATCAATTAAAGCATTGAGTGCCTCGGATTAATTAAATATCTTTGTTAATCAATTAATAAATTAATTCGATGCCTTGGTTTAATCCCGGTTAATTAATTAATTGGGCCCCCGTGATCCATCCCGATTAATCCCTTAATTAATTAATTGCCCAGCTGCCTGTTATTATCCCTTATTTATCCATTAATTAATTGGGCTCCTGTGCTCCATCCCAAATAATTAATTAACATATTAATGGCTGCCTGTGATTAACGCCGATTCCTTAATTAACTAAACGGAAGCCCGTGATTGGTCACGCCCCATTAATTGCTTGATTACTTGCGCATTAATTAATCAATTAATTCATGAGCTGGTCACTGGTGATTAACCTTAATTCATTAATTGCTGCAATTAATGCAACCGTGATCCACTGATTAATTAATTAATGCGGATCGATCCCCGTGGATTCGTTAATTAACCCCACTCCTGACTCTAGCCCGGACCCATTAATTAATTAATTGGCCCTGGTGATTAGCTCCAATCCATTAATTACTTAAAGTGACACCTGCAATTAACCCTGGGCCTTTAATTAATTAATTGGACTCCTGCAATTAACCCAGACCCATTAATTGCAGAATGGGACGCCTGAAATTAACCCCGAGCTTTTGGCTAATTAATTAATTGGATGTCCGTGATTAACCCCAATCCATCAATTAATTAAAGGAACGCTTGCAATTAACCCCGCGGTTTTAATTAATTAATTGATTAATGGCGATTAACCCGGCTGGAGCCATTAATTTCCCGCACTCCTACAATTAACCTGGATCCATTAATTACCTAAAGGCATGCCGGCAATTAACCCCCAGCCCTTAATTAATGAGTGGCAATGAACCGGAACGGACTCGTTAATTGATTAATTGGACTCCTGCAATTAACCTAAATCCTTTCATTGTTTAATTAGCTGTAATTAACACTGCCGGCTCCATTAATTACCCTCACTCCTGCAATTAACCAGGACCCATTAATTGGACCTTTGCAATTAACACGGGAACCATTAATTAATGGACTCCAGCAATCAACCCACACCCATTAATTAATGAGTTGGGTGCCTGCAATTAACTGGGACCTATTAATTAATGAACAGGGCTCTTGAAATTACCTTGGGCCCATTAATTAATGAATTTGGTGCCTGCAATCAACTGGGTCCTATGAATTAATTAATCGGCCTGTTGAAATGACCTTAATTACATTAATTAATGAATTGGACTCGTGCAATTAACACCACTAATTAACAAACTGAACCCCCGCAATCAACCAACACCCACTAATTAATGAATCGGGTGCCTGCAATTAGCTCGGACCTATTAATTAATGAATCGGACTTCTGCAATTTTTATTAATTAAATTCATTATTAATTAACGAATCGGGCTCTGGAAATTATTTTAGACCCATTAATTAATGAATCGGACTTGTGCAATTAAATCAGACCTATTAATTAATCAATAGAACTTCTGCAATTACCTCGGACCTATTAATTAATGAATTGAGCTCCATAAATTATTTTAGACCTATTAATTAATGAACCGGACTTGTGCAATTACCTCAGACCCATTAATTAATGAAATCGGGCACTGGAAATTATTTTAGACCCATTAATTAATGAACTGGACTTGTGCAATTATCTCTGACCCATTAATGAATGAAACGAGCTCTTGCAATTATCTCGAACCAATTAATTAATGAATCAGACTTCTTCAATTACCTCAGACCTATTAATTAGTGAACTGGGTTTGTGCAATTACCTCGGACCTTTTAATTAATGAATCAGACTTTCGCATTTACTCTGGGCCCCTTAATTAACGAGTGGGGCCCCCACAACCAACCGTTGTTAATTAACGAACCCATTAATTAACGAACCAGACCCCTGCAATTAACACCAGGCCAGCTAATTAGCTATCTAATTAACCCCTTCCACCCTTCAACCCCAACCCAATTAACCCTTCCCTTAATCACCCCCATCCCCCTTTTCCCGCCAAAACACCTCCGCTCCCCAAACCCCGCCCCCTCCTCAAGCCACGCCCCCTTTTCCCACCCAAACCCCGCCCCTTTCCCCCATAAAAACCCCCCGGGGACCCCGAACTCGGCAGATCCCGGCCATGGCCTCCAGCTCGCTCCCGTTCCTGGCTCTCCTGCTGCTGGCGGCCCTGCCAGGTGCGTCCGGAAC